TTCGCAGTCGTCGCCCCCCCCCCCTCCCCCGTCCACCTCCTCCCCCCCCCCCACCCTGCACAGCCTTCACCCTTCCACAGCTCTCTCCCACACTTACTCTCTCGCTCTTCAACACTAGCTCGAGAGACCAGACATGGAAGAGCCCCCCGGGAGTAGCGCAGTTGAGGCTGAGGCGCCAAACACACTGGAGGACCTTTCCCCATTCCTCACATACCTTGGTGCGCTATGCCCCGCGGCACTGGGTGCTCGGCCTGGTGCCTTTAAGCGCAAGCTGAAGAAGCAGAACGAGCTCCTTACCAAGTTTGCATGCGACCCGAGTGTACGTACCTTGTCCCCTTTCACCTCCTCTCCCTTCTCCCCTCCCTTCCCCTCCCCCCCTCCTGCTCTACTGCTGCTCATGAAGACTCACATATAGCGGTGGTGGTGGTGGCCGTGCTTTGCGGTGGCTTTGGCGCTCGCGCGACGGCCAAAAATGGCGTCCTTGCTCTAGGTCCGCACACTGGTGGTGGCGGTCGGCTCGAGGCCCGAGGCTGGCGTGCATGATGGAAGCGACGACGGTGAAGAAGAGGGCGGGCAGGAGTTCTCTTTACAGCTGGAGGTAGCGTACCTCGGCAAGAATGTCGAGTCAATGATGTGCTTTGTCAAGCGCGGCGAGGTGCTCGTTGCCGGGACGCCCATCGCAGGGCAGCTCCACTTTGTGACGCTCGCCAACGACAAGCCGTTCGAGACGCTGTACGCGTACCTGAGGACCTCGTTTGGCCCGCTGTTTGAGTCATTTCTCGACGCATCGGCGTCCAAGTTTGGTGGGAGCGGGCCCGGGAGCGGGCCCGCCGGAAGCTCGGGCGACAAGACCGACCCGAACATGGGCGTGGCGGTCGTTCGCAAGAACCTGGCGTCGCTGCAGTCGTCGCTGATGCACCTCAAGCAAGAAGTGGAAATTCCCGAGGTCAAGCTGGTGATCGACGGCGACATTGCACGGTGCCTCGACGAGGCTGCGGCGGCCGGGCGGGCCATGGAGGTGGGCGACCTCGGCGAGCTGGTCAAGGACTCGCGGTGGCTCAACTCGCTGCAGTCGGGTGTCAACGCGTGGATCCGCGAAGTGCAAAAGGTGACCAAGCTCGAGCGCGACGCGTCGACGGGCTCGGCGCTCCAGGAGATCAACTTTTGGCTCTCGATGGAGCGCGCGCTCGACGCGGTCGAGGCCGAGCTTGCCACGCCGGGCGTGGAAATGACCATGGAGGTGCTGAAGCACGCCAAGCGGTTCCATGCCACGGTGAGCTTCCGGTCTGATACCGGGCTCAAGGCTGCGCGTGCCGTCGTCACCTCGTACAACTTGCTCTTCAAGGACTTTCCTATCCACGAGCTCCTCAACGCCACCGACATCAACTCGCTCAACGACGGCCTCTCCGGCGTGTTCAACCACCTCAAGAAGCTCAAGAACACGAGCTACCCGCTCGAGCGGGCGCTGCGGTTTGTCGAGGCGCTCTCACGCGACGTGGCGGCCCAGCTGCTCTCTGTCCTGCAGGGCGCGCGGCTGCTTCTCCTGCCGTATGACGAGTTTGACGTCCTCACAAGCGACTGCGGCTCGGTCTTTGCGCTGTGGGAGGATCTTGTGGCCGGCTTCAAGGAGCTCCTCCGCGAAGTCGCCAAGTTCCGCCGGAACAAGGCCGAAGAGTCGCTGCCGATCCGGATCCGGGCCGAGCACACGGCGCTCCGCGACCGGCTGGAGGATCTCCGCCGGTTCCGCAAGCAGCACGACGAGCTGCGTGTCGTCATTCGCAAGGTTCTCCCGCAAGTCGCGCATGGCTCGGAGATCAACGCCGTCGAGGAGGTGGCTGCGGCATACGACGAAGTCAAGGCTGTCGAGCCACTTGACGTCTCCGAGACCGGTGTCGTCAACTGGAACGAGGCGCTGCATGCGTACGAGTCGCGCATCGACGCCGTTGAGTCGCAGATCACCAACCGGCTCCGCGACAAGCTCGGCTCGGCCAAGAACGCCAACGAGATGTTCCGGGTCTTTCAAAAGTTCAACGCGCTCTTCTTCCGGCCGCGCATCCGCGGCGCCATCCAAGAGTACCAGGCGCAGCTCATTTCGCGGGTCAAGGGCGACATTACGGCGCTGCAAGACAAGTTCAAGACGCAGTACGGCGTGTCCGAGGTCTCACGCATGTCGCGACTCCGCGACTTGCCGCCTGTTGCCGGCAACATTATCTGGGCGCGGCAGATCGAGCGCCAGCTCGACACGTACATGAACCGGGTCGAGACCGTGCTCGGCTCGGGTTGGGAGCAGCATGTCGAGGGCCAGAAGCTCAAGGTCGAGGGCGACTCGTTCCGCCGCAAGCTCAACACCGCTATGCTCTTCAACAACTGGGTCAAGCAGACCGAGTCGCGGAATTACGAGGCTGTCGGCCGGGTCTTTTACATTGAGAAGCGCCACTCCAAGCTGACGCTGCGGACCAACTTTGACGGCGGCATGATCACCCTCTTCAAGGAGGTTCGCAACCTACTCTGGCTCGGCTTCCGGGTCCCGTTCCAGATCCAGCTCACCTCCTCGCGGGCGCAGCAGGTCTATCCGTTTGCCGTCTCGCTCATGGAGTCAATCAAGACGTACTCGCGGTCGTGCGAGAAGCTCTCCGAATCGATTGCCCCGCTTGTGGCCTCGTTCCAGCTCTCGGTCCAGACCACGCTCGCCGACGGCTTCCAGCTCCACTGGGAGTCACTCAAGCTTGACGAGTACGTCAAGACGCTCGCCGAGACCGTCCTTAACTTTCAGGAGAAGGTTGACGACCTGCTCGTCAAGTACGAGACCATCAACAGCTCGCTTGCCTCGCTCGCTTCGGCCAAGCTCGAGCAGGCCGCGCTGGCCAAAATCGTCGGCTCCATCCAGGACGTGGTCGACTCGCTCAACATGGCTGGCTACTCGAACCTGGACGCCTACGTGGCCTCGCTTGATACATCGCTCCGCGAGGTGCTCACTGGCCGGCTCCGTGAGGCCGTCGACCTCTGGATCAAGGTCTTTACCGCCTCGCTGCCATCGCTGCGGCCAGGCGCCGAGGGTGCGTCCGCCAAGGACGACGCGGCGGCCGCCGAAGACGAGCGCAAGAAGGCGCGGGCACGGGCGTTGCGGGCACGCCGGTTTGCGCGCCCGCGCGGCGGCGACGACGGCGCTGGTGCGGGTGAGAGCGTCGACCCGGCGGCAATGTCACCGGCGGCGCTGACTGCGCTCCGGGCCTCGATGGTTGTGGACGGCAAACCGTGCATGGAGCCGGTGGTCCACGAGCTCTCGCTCCGCAACCAGACCATGTACCTCGAGCCGCCGCTCGAGTCTGCGCGACAGGACTGGATCGACCAGTTCAACACATGGCTTGGCGTTGTCGGCTCGCTCCCAGTCCTCTCGGCCTCGCGGTTTGACGTCATGGGCGTGGCCGCGGCGTCGGGTCCGGGCGGGGCCAAGATGGCGACCTACGCCGACCTGCTTAGCGATCTCGAGCCGAATGAGCTCACTGGGGCGTACGAGGTCATCGAGGGCCTCCTCGCGGAGGCGCGGCGGTACGTCGACTCGTGGCTCCAGTACCAGTCGCTGTGGGACATGGACGCGTCGGCAGTCCATGACGTGGTCCGCGATGACCTCGGGCTCTGGCGGCAGCTCCTCCGCGAGATCCAGAACGCGCGGTCGACGTTTGACAACGCTGACTCGGAGTACTCGCTCGGCTCAATTGTGGTGCAGTACGGACAGGTCCAGGCCAAGGTCAACAACAAGTACGACGCATGGCACAAGGAGTTCCTCGCTCACTTTGGCTCGCTCCTTGGCTCGCGCATGGCGGACTTTCTGGAGACGCTCGCGGGTGCACGTGCCGCGCTCGAGGGCGCGACTGTCGAGACCGAGTCGACCGCTGACGCTGTGGCGTTCATCACCACCGTACAGAAGCACAAGCGCAAGCTCGACGAGTACAAGGCATCCATGGAGCACTACAAGCTCGGGCAGAAGCTGGCGGAGCGGCAGCGGTTCCACTTTCCGGCCGACTGGGTCCATTACGACCGGCTCGACGGCGAGTTTACCGCCTTTGTGGAGATCCTCAACCGGAAGGACGCGTCGATCGAGTCGCAGGTCCCGGCACTGCAGAAGAAGATCCTTGCCGAGGAGCGGATGCTGGCGGCCAAGCTGAGCGAGGTCGAGGCCGAGTGGACAAGCTCCAAGCCGGTCTCGGGCGAGATGCGGCCGGACGAGGCCAACAACGTCATCGCCATGTTTGAGGGGCGGGTGACCAAGCTCGCGGCCGACTTTGCACGCATTGTGCAGGCCATGGACGCACTTGACCTCGACGCGCCGTCGAACGAGACCATCGAGTCGATGGCGGAGGAGCTTGCCGACCTCAAGGGTGTGTGGGAGGCGCTCGGCGGCGTGTGGTCGGGTCTCGACGAGCTCAAGACGACGCCGTGGAAGGGAGTGGTGCCCAAGGCGCTGCGGCGGTCGCTCAACTCGCTCATCAACGAGCTCAAGGGCATGCCGAACCGGATGCGACAGTATGAGGCGTGGGAGTATGTCAAGGGCTACCTCGAGTCGCTTGTCAAGGCCAACTCGCTCATCGAGGCGCTCTCGTCGGACGCAGTCCACGAGCGGCACTGGAAGGTCCTCCGCAAGGCGCTCGGCGTGAGGTGGGCCTCGGACTTTACGCTTGGCGAGGTGTGGGATGCCGACGTGCTCGGCAACGCCGACGCCATCGGCGAGGTGGTGACCATGGCGCAGGGCGAGAAGGGCCTCGAGGAGTTTCTCCGCGAGGTCAAGGAGTTCTGGACCGAGTTTGCGCTCGAGCTCGTGGTGTACCAGGGCAAGACGCGACTCATCCGCGGGTGGGACGACCTGTTCAACAAGCTCATGGAGCACCTCAACTCTGTACAGGCCATGAAAATGTCGCCGTACTTTAAGCCCTTCGCTGAGGAGGCGCAGGTGTGGGACGAGCGGCTGTCGCGGATGCAGGATATCTTTGACCTGTGGATCGACGTCCAGCGCCGCTGGGTCTACCTCGAGGGCATCTTTACCGGCTCGGCCGACATCAAGGTCCTTCTCCCGCAAGAGTCGAAGCGTTTCGACTCGATTAACTCGGAGTTCCTCGGCCTCATGAAAAAGGTGACCAAGGCGCCGCTCATTCTCGACGTCATCGCCATCTCGGGCGTCGACAAGCTCCTCGCCCGTCTCGCCGACCTCCTCACCAAGGTCCAGAAGGCGCTCGGTGAGTACCTCGAGCGCCAGCGGGCCTCGTTCCCACGCTTCTACTTTGTGGGCGACGAGGACTTGCTCGAGATCATTGGCAACTCCAAGGATGTGTTCAAGGTCCAGAAGCACCTCAAGAAGATGTTTGCCGGTCTCACTGCGCTCATTCTCGACGACGACGCGCCGTCGCTCATCCGCGGTATGATGTCCAAAGAGGGCGAGGTTGTGCCGTTTGCCGCGCCCGTCGACGCCGCCACCATGCCTAAGATTAACGAGTGGCTTTCGGCGCTGGAGGCCGAGATGAAGAACTCGCTCGCGCTTCTCCTCACCGACGCCGTGGTCGAGCTGCGGACCATTCTCGCGCCGGGCAGGGCCTTTGACGAGGACGCGTTCTTTACCTGGGTCGAGACCTATCCTGACCAGCTCGTCACGCTCGCTGCGCAGTGCGTGTGGACCGAGCAAGTTGAGGCCGGGCTGGAGGCCGCGGCGAGTGACGAGTACGGTGCCGCCAACGCGTTTCTGGAGACAATTCTGAGCGTGCTCGCAGTGCTCGCGCAGGAGGTGCTCTCGGACATGTCGAACATCAAGCGGAAGAAGCTCGAGCACCTCATCACCGAGCTTGTTCACCAGCGCGACACCATCCGCAAGCTTGTGGCGGCAAAGGTGCCGTCGGCCTCGGACTTTGGCTGGCTCTACGAGATGCGGTACTACTTTGACGAGACCAAGGCAGTGCCTGTGGAGCGGTTCGCCATCCGCATGGCCAACGCCGAGTTCCTTTACGGCTTTGAGTACCTTGGCATCCAGTCCAAGCTGGTGACCACGCCGCTGACGGACCGGTGCTACCTGACGCTCACCCAGGCGCTGCACGGGCGGATGGGTGGCTCGCCGTTTGGCCCGGCCGGTACAGGCAAGACCGAGTCGGTCAAGGCGCTCGGCTCGCAGCTCGGCCGGTTTGTACTTGTCTTTTGCTGCGACGAGAACTTTGATTTCCAGGCCATGGGCCGCATTTTCGTGGGCCTTTGCCAGGTCGGCGCCTGGGGCTGCTTTGACGAGTTCAACCGGCTCGCCGAGCGTATGCTCTCGGCCGTCTCGCAGCAGATCCAGACCATCCAGCTAGCGCTGCAGGACGGGACGCCCAAGGTCGAGCTCCTCGGGACGACGGTGCCGATCTCGCCCGACATGGGTATTTTCATTACCATGAACCCGGGCTACGCCGGGCGGTCCAACTTGCCGGACAACCTCAAGCAGCTCTTCCGACCGATGGCCATGACCGCGCCGGACAAGGAGCTCATCGGACAGGTCATGCTCTTCTCGCAAGGCTTTGCCACCGCCGAGCGGCTCGCCGGCAAGGTGGTGCCGCTCTTCAAGCTTTGCCACGAGCAGCTGTCGGACCAGTCGCACTACGACTTTGGCCTCCGCTCGCTCAAGTCTGTCCTCGTCTCTGCAGGCAACATCAAGCGGAAGAAGATGCTTGCCATTGCGAGCGGCGACGAGCCGCAGCCGGGCGACAACACTGAGTTTGAGCAAGACGTTTTGCTGCAGTCTATTTGCGAGACGCTTATTCCCAAACTTGTGGCGGCCGACATCCCGCTGCTCTACTCACTGCTCACCGACGTCTTCCCGGGCTGCGCGCTGCCGCAGCTTGCGGCGGCGGCGCTCAAGGCCAAGATGAAGGCCATTGCCGACGAAGCCAATTATGTGTTTGGCGATCTGTGGGTCGACAAGACGCTGCAACTCAACCAGATCCTCAACCTCAACCACGGCGTCATGCTCGTGGGCCCGTCGGGCTCTGGCAAGTCGAGCTCGTGGCGGACGCTCCTGGCTGCGCTCGAGGCGCTAGAGGGTGTCGAGGGCTGCTCGTACGTCATCGACGCCAAGGCCATTTCCAAGGACGAGTTGTACGGCTTCCTCGACGCGACGACCCGCGAGTGGACCGACGGCATTTTTACCGGCATTCTCCGGCGGATCATCGACAACGTCCGCGGCGAGGCGGCGAAGCGGCATTGGATTGTGTTTGACGGCGACGTCGACCCCGAGTGGGTGGAGAACATGAACTCGCTGCTCGACGACAACAAGCTCCTCACGTTGCCCAACGGCGAGCGGTTGGCGCTCCCGCCGAATGTGCGAATCATGTTCGAGGTGCAGGATCTCAAGTACGCGACGCTGGCCACGGTCTCGCGGACAGGCATGGTGTGGTACTCGGAGGACACGCTGACGACGCCGATGATTTTGCAGCATAACTTGCTCAAGATGCGAAACGTGGTGGTTCCGGGCGAGTACGACGAGTCGGACCTGCCGGGCTACGCTGGCGTCGACGACGAGACCGGTGCCGAGGTCTCGCCGGCGCTCATGGTACAGCGCGAGGTGGAAGCTGCGCTCGCGCCGTACTTTGCGGACGGGAGCATGGTGTTGCAGGCGCTGGACAAGGCGGCCGGGCTGGAACAGGTCATGGACCACTCGCGGCTGCGGCTGCTGGGCGCCATGTTCTCGATCCTCAACATGGGCATTGCGCAAGTCCACGAATACAACGCGACCCACTACGAGGCGCCGATGGGCGGCTCGCGGCTGGCTGACTTTATGCGCCGCAAGCTGGTGCTCGCAGTGGTGTGGGGCTTTTCCGGCTCGTGCAAGATTGCGGTCCGCGAAGAGTTTTCGCACTGGCTCCGCGACATTACCGACATTGATCTGCCGGAAAAGCCGGTCATCGACTACGAGGTCTCTGTGGTGACTGGTGGGTGGGAGCTGTGGACGAACCAGGTGCCGGTCATTGACGTCGACGCCGAGTCGATGGGTACCGCCGTCATTCCGACGCTCGACACGGTGCGGCACGTGGACATTCTGTACGCTTGGTTGGCGGAGCACAAGCCGCTGCTGCTGTGCGGCCCGCCGGGGTCGGGCAAGACGATGACGCTCTTCTCGACGCTCCGCAAGGCGACCAACTACGACGTGTGTGCCATCAACTTCTCGTCGGCCACCTCACCGGAGCTCATTCTTTCGACGTTTGAGCAAAAGTGCGAGATCAAGAAGACCGCCCGCGGCCTCGTTCTTCAGCCGATTCAGCTCGGCAAGTGGCTGGTGGTCTTTTGCGACGAGATCAACTTGCCGGAGCCGGACGAGTACGGCACGCAGCGAGTCATCACCTTTATCCGCCAGCTTGTGGAGCAGGGCGGTTACTGGCGGGCCGAGGACCTGCAGTGGATTTCGTTGGAGCGGATTCAGTTTGTGGGAGCGTGCAACCCGCCGACGGATCCTGGGCGGACGCCGCTCTCGCACCGGTTCCTCCGGCACGCGCCGCTCATTCTGTGCGACTACCCGGCATACGAGTCGCTGACCCAGATTTACGGCACCTTTTCGCGGGCGCTCCTTGCCGACTACGCGCATCTCAAGCCGTACGCGGGAGCTCTCACCGAGTGCATGGTCGACTTTTACACCCAGTCGCAGGCGCGGTTCACGGCCGACATCCAGCAGCACTACATCTACTCGCCTCGTGAGCTGACGCGGTGGGTCCGCGGCATCTACGATGCGCTGCGGACGGGCGAGGAGGGTCCGAGCCTGGAGACACTGATGCGGATCTGGGCGCACGAGGGCCTGCGGCTGTTCCAGGACCGGCTTGTGACCGAGGAGGAGCGCGAGTGGACGACGACGCATCTCGATGCGACGCTCGCCAAGCACTGTCCGGATTGCGACGCGTCGGTGGCGCTTGCGCGGCCGATTCTGTTCTCCTCGTGGCTCTCGGACGACTCGCGGTACGTGTCGGTGACCCGCGACGATCTGCGGGCGTACCTGCTTGACGAACTGAAGAACTTTTACGAGGAGGAGCTCGACGTGCCGCTGGTGCTCTTTGACGAGGTGCTCGACCACATCCTGCGGATCGACCGGGTCTTCCATCAAAAGCAGGGCCACCTGCTGCAGATCGGACAGTCGGGCGCGGGTAAGACGGTGCTCTCGCGATTTGTGGCGTGGAAGAACGGGCTCTCGGTCTTCCAGATTCGCGGCTCGAACAAGTACTCTGGCGAGGACTTTGACAATGACCTGCGGACGGTGCTGCGGCGGTCGGGCGCCGAGGGCGAGAAGATCTGCTTCATCTTTGACGAGTCGAACATCAAGGACACGGGCTTCCTCGAGCGGATGAACACGCTCCTCGCCAACGGTGAGATTCCGGGCCTGTTTGAAGGCGACGACTGGACGTCGCTGATGAACCAGTGCAAGACGAGCTCGCAAACCGAGGGCAAGATGCTGAGCTCCGAGGACGAGCTCTACGAGTGGTTTACCAACCAGATCATCCGCAACCTGCACGTGGTGTTCACCATGAACCCTGCCGGTGGCGGGTTTGAGAACCGGACGTCGACTTCGCCAGCGCTCTTCAACCGATGCGTGCTCAACTGGTTCGGCGACTGGTCGGACAAGGCGTTGTACCAGGTCGGCCTCGAGTTTACGGCAGCCGTCGAGCTGGACCTTGAGGGCTACATGCCGCCGGACTTTTCCCGGCGGCCTTTGCTGAGGCACCAAACCCGCCGACGCACCGACAGGCCATTGTCAACGCCATGGTCTCTGTCCATCAGTCTGTGGCCGAGGCCAACGTCAAGCTCTCCAAGCGGCAAGGGCGGGTCAACTACGTGACGCCGCGGCACTACCTCGACTTTATCCACCACTATGTGGGCCTGTACAACGAGAAGCGCGGCGAGCTCGAGGAGCAGCAGGCGCATCTCAACACTGGGCTCGACAAGCTGCGCGAGACCGAGGAGCAGGTGCTCGAGCTGCAAAAGTCACTCGCGGTGAAGAACACCGAGCTCGCAGCCAAGAACGAGGAGGCGAACGCTAAGCTGAAGCAGATGGTCAAGGACCAGCAGGTTGCGGAGGAGAAGAAGAAAGAGTCGCTCAAGATGGCGGCCGAGCTGGAGGCCAAGTCCAAGGTTGTGGAGGAGCAAAAGGAGGTGGCGCTCGGTGACCTGGCCAAGGCCGAGCCGATGGTGGAGGAGGCCCGTGCGGCGGTGCAGGGCATCAAGAAGTCCCACCTCGACGAGGTCCGCGCCCTCCGCAACCCGCCGGCCAAGATCCAGCTGACGATGGAGGCTGTGCTCACCCTCCTCGGCGCCGGCAAGATCGACTGGAAGGGCATCAAGGCTGCGATCCAGAAGACCTCGTTCATTTCGGATGTCATGTCGTTTGATGCCGAGACCATTTCGCCGCGCATTCGGGCGGTGATGGAGAAGAAGTACTTGTCAAACCCCGAGTTCAACTTTGAGTCGATCAACAAGGCTTCCAAGGCGTGTGGCCCGCTGTGCAAGTGGGCGCTGGCGCAGCTGGCATACGCAGACATCCTGCACCGGGTCGAGCCGCTGCGGGCCGAGCTGCGGGCGCTGGAGGCAGACGCAGCGGCGATGGCGGCCAAGAAGGCCGAGATGGACGACCTCGTGGCCGAGCTCGAGGCGTCGATTGCGGCGTACAAGGAGGAGTATGGGGTGCTCATCGGCGAGACGCAGCGGATCAAGACCGAGATGGAGGTGACCAAGGTCAAGGTGGAGCGGTCGACGTCGCTGCTTGCCTCGCTCGGGTCAGAGCGATCGCGGTGGGAGGCCGAGTCGGAGGGCTTCCGCAACCAACTTGCATCTGTGGTGGGCGATGTGCTGGTGTGTGCGGCGACGATGGCGTACGCCGGTTTCTTTGACCAAAGCTACCGGTCCGGACTGGAGGCGCAGTGGAAGGCGCAGCTGGAGGCGTCCAACGTGGCGTTCAACTCGGAGCTTGCCTTTAACGAGTTCCTCGGCTCTGCTGCTGCCGAGCTCGAGTGGCAGTCACGTGGGCTGCCTGTCGACGCGCTCTGCACGCAAAACGCGATCATGCTCGAGCGGTACAACCGGTACCCGCTCATCATCGACCCGTCGGGCCAGGCGACCGAGTTTGTGATGGCGCAGTATGCCGGACGCAAGATGAAGAAGACCTCGTTCCTCGACCCTGCGTTCATGAAGCACCTCGAGAGTGCGCTGCGGTTTGGAACGTCGTTGCTGGTGCAGGACGTGGAGAACATCGACCCTGTCGTCAACCCTGTGCTCAACAAGGAGCTGCAGAAGAAGGGCGGGCGGGTGCTGATGCAGCTCGGCGAGCTGGACATCGACTTTTCGCCATCGTTCTCGATCTTCCTCTCGACTCGCGACCCGACGTTTAACTTTGCGCCGGACCTGTGCTCTCGGGTGACCTTTGTCAACTTTACGGTCACCCAGGCTCGCTCCAGTCGCAGTGTCTGTCCAAGGTGCTCAAGGCTGAGCGGCCAGACATTGACGCGAAGCGGTCGGACCTGCTCAAGCTCCAGGGCGAGTTTCGGGTCAAGCTGCGGGCGATGGAGGCCAAGCTGCTGACGACGCTCTCCGAGTCGGAGGGCAACATTCTGGACAACGACAAGGTTATTACCACGCTGGAGAAGATCAAGGCCGACGCTGCGGACATTGCGCAAAAGGCAAGCGAGGCCGACGTGGTGATGGAGGAGGTGGAGGGCGTGTCGTCACAGTACGCGCCGATGGCGACGTCGTGCTCGCGGATCTACTTTTCGCTCGAGCAGATGGGCCACGTCCACTTTTTGTACCAGTACTCGCTGCAGTTCTTCCTCGACATTTTCGAGGTGACACTGTTGCACAACCCGCACCTCGAGGCGTTGACCGAGCCGATGGAGCGGCTGGAGGTGCTGATGGCGGACTTGTTTGCGACAGTGTACGAGCGGGTCTGTCGTGGCCTGCTCCACGCCGACCACGTCTGCTTTGCCTTTCTCCTTGCCCAGGTGCGGACCGAGTCTGCGGCGGTGCTCGACGCGCAGGAGTTTGAGTTCTTCCTCAAGGGCATCGAGTCGCTCGGCGGGCAGGTGCCGGAGCTGGGCGTCGACGTCACGGCGCCGGCGCTCGGATACACGCCTGCACAGCAGCACCTGCTCCGTGGGCTCTCTGCGCTCCCGATCTTTGCGGGCGCGCTCGGCGAGTCTGCAGTGAAGGACGTTGAGGCGTGGGCCAAGTTCCTCGACCTGTCCGCGGCCGGCGAGAAGGCTGTGCCGCCGGGACCGTGGAATGCGGCGCCTGCGGGCGCGGGCATGCCGGGCGCGCTAGTGGCGTTCCGCAAGCTGCTGCTGGTCAAGGCGTTCCGGCCGGACCGGCTGCTGGCGGCGATGGACACGTTTGTGTCTGCGGTGTTTGGCAGCGGGTTCCTCGACCTCGGGGTGCTCGACCTCGGCAAGGTGGTGGGGAGCGAGGTGGCGGCGAGCACGCCGCTGTTGATGTGCTCGATGCCCGGACACGACGCGTCGGGGCGGGTCGACGAGGTGGCGGCCGAAGTGGGCAAGCGGGTCAACTCGATTGCCATCGGCTCGCCCGAGGGCTTTGACCTGGCGGAGAACGCCATTTCGGCGGCAGCCAAGAGCGGCGGTTGGGTCATGCTCAAGAACGTGCACCTTGCGCCGCAGTGGCTGGTGCAGCTTGAGAAGAAGTTGCACAACCTGGCGCCGGTCTCAGGCTTCCGGCTTTTTATGACCGGCGAGATCCATCCTGCGATTCCGGTCAACCTCATGCGGATGTCGCGGATCTTTGTGTTTGAGCCGCCGCCGGGTGTCAAGGCCAACCTGCTGCGGACGTTCTCGTCGATTCCTGCGTCGCGAATGGATGCCAAGCCGGTCGAGCGGTCGCGGCTGTACTTTATCATCTCGTGGGTCCATGCCGTCTTGCAAGAACGGCTGGGGTACACGCCGCTCGGGTGGGCACAGAGCTACGAGTTTAATGACGCAGACATCCGGTGTGCGTTTGCGTCGGTCGACTATTGGGTTGGGTCGGTGGCCAAGTCGAAGGACAACGTGGACCCGGAGAAGATCCCGTGGCTCGCGCTTCGCACGCTGTTCTCGGTCTCGATCTACGGCGGGCGGATTGACAACGAGTTTGACTCGCGGCTGCTGGACTCGTTCCTGGAGAACCTCTTTACGCCGGCGTCGTTCAACCTCGACTTTGTGCTTGTGCCGGCAGAGGACTCGGGCTCGTCTGAGGACGACGAAGGTGACGCAAGCGGAAGCGGAAGCGACGCGGCTGCTCTCACCATTCCAGAGGCGCGGTGCAAGGCCGACTTTGAGGCGTGGGTCCGGGCGCTGCCGGACTCGCAAACGCCGGCGTGGCTTGGCCTCCCGGTCAACGCCGAGTCTGTCCTCCTCCGCAACAAGGCCAAGGTCGCGGTGTCGAAGATCCTCAAGCTGCAGTCGATGCAGGAGGATGAGTCTGTGGGCGGTGAGGCCGAGGCAGCGGCAGCGGCTGCAGCCAGCGGCGACGGTTCGGGCGTGGCGTTGCCGGCGTGGATGCGGTCGTTGCACACCTCGCTTCAGCAGTGGAGCGAGCACCTGCCGGCGGGCCTGACGAGCATGACATCGTCGGCGGAGAACGTGGCAAACCCGCTGTTCCGGTGCATCGAGCGCGAGAACGAGCGGGCACGAAGCCTTCTGGGCGTCATCCGCAAGGACGTGGCCGACCTCGATGCGGTCTGCCGCGGCGAGATGAAGCAGACCAACCACATCCGCGAGCTGCTGGTGTACCTGTCCAAGGGCATGATTCCCAAGTCGTGGCGGGCGTACTCGGTTCCGGACTCGCTCTCGGTCAACGTGTTTGTCAAGGATCTCGCGCTGCGACTGCAACAGCTGGAGGATCTCGCTGGCCAAGCCTCGACCTTTGGCCGCGACGGCATCATCCTCGGGCGGCTCTTCTCGCCCGAGGCCTTCCTCACTGCCTCGCGGCAGGCAGCAGCGCAGGCCAAGGAGTGGCCGCTTGAGGAGCTCGAGCTCGCAGTCTACGTCGGCGAGGAGAGCGGCGACGACCTCCAGTCGTTTGCCATCCTCGACCTGAACGTCGAGGGCGCCGAGTGGCGCGAGGGCGCGCTCCATCTCTCGGAAAAGATTTCGACCACGCTCCCGGTCGCCCGCTTCCGGTGGGTCAACCCGCGGGTGGAGGACGTTCCGCCGCGCCGGCTCATCCGCCTCCCGGTCTACCTCAACTCGTCACGCAAGGTCCTCCTCTTTGACGTCCAGGTCGACGGGCCCCAAGGCCTTGGAGATCTTGACTTTGCCCAGCGCGGCATTGCCATTGTGGCCACAAGCTACGAGAACATCGTGTAGTGCAGCGTTAGCCGTGTCGCGAGTTGATAAAGCACAAGCGCTGTGCAGCTGACGTATCCCGATGCAAATGCGCACTGATGCGAGCGGAAGGTGAGCCGGTGCCGAGCGAGTGCGGCAATAGAGGGGAGTAGGAGAGAGCCAAAAAAAAAAAGCCGCATCCGCGCATCAGACTGATACTCCACGCGTGGGCTGACCGAGTTGATGCGGAAAAGTGATCAAAAGTATGCAAGGGACGCGCTTGAAAAGGGCCTCCTTTGCCAACCCCGCCCACCTCACCACCACGACCACCACCTACGTGCGCACACAGCTGTGCACGCATAACACCGTTTTCTTACAAAGGCAAGAAGTACAGCTTGGTGATTTCATTTAAGATTCTCGCTTCGCCCTCGCCTTGCTCTTGCCTTCCCTTGCCAGCTCTTGCGCCCCTCCTCGCTTCTGTCTGTCCCTGAGTGCCTTTGTTGTGCAAAAATGATCATCGGCCGGTGGCTGGCCTTGGTGGTAGTGGTATCATTGGTGGCGTTGGCTGGATTTGCGGCTGCTGATCCGAGTGACTCCCCGTTCATCTGTGGCGTTGGGTACCCCATTGATGCGGCTGTTTCGCTCGAGTGGACGTCGACGAGTGGTTCGACACTGGAGAGTGGGTATGTGTTCAAGGGCTCGCAAGTGTGGGCGTACTCGTACAAGCACTCTGGCATGATCAACGGCATTGCCGACGAGATCTCAAACGTGTTCCCCGGCGTGCCTACTGCTGATTTGGATGCTGTGGCGGGCTCGCCTGCAACAGACTCGGATGATGAGAAGCGCCGGCTGTTGTTTTTCAAGGAGGACAGAGTGTGGAAGTACGATTTGGAGACCGGTCTTGTGGCTGGGTACCCCAGGACGATCGCCACCGAGTTTGGTGGCTACTTTCCGGACGATGTCCACGCCGCCGAGACCGAGCGATCCGGGCCGAGCAGTACGCGCATCCGAGTCTTCCGCGGCTCGCTCGAGTGGGTGCTGTATTTCAACGCGGGTGGGCTCGATGGCAGCTCGTTCATGAACGGCCCGCATGGGTACTCGTTCTCGCCGCAGGCGGCGATCTGGACCGAGTTTACCGGTGGCACGGAGCAGCTGTATTTTCTGGAAGACGAGAAGGCGTACTTTGAGGAACATCCCGGGATGGGCTTCAACGAGGTGGCGATCTGCGCGTCGTGCGATGGCGACACGATCATCGCGACGGGGACGTCCGGTACTGTGGCGCCGTTTGTGGCCGACATGATTGTGGGTGGGCAGACGTGCACCTGGCTGCTCCGGTTCTACACGCTCGGCACGCTCACAATCGACTTTGACGACATGTCCAAGCGGCCCGAGGCGATGAACATTGGCGACAGTGTGCTTAGCGTGTACGAGGGTGCCGATACTTTGGGTACTCTGGTTGCTACCTACGACCAGATGACATCGCCTTCGCCGCCGTTTACGCTCGTCACGACTGCAAGCGAAGGCATGATGTATCTCAAGCTTGTGGCGTCGGCGACGGGCATGCCTGGCGGTGGCTTCTCGTTCTCGTGGAGCTTTGCGCCGGCATCGGCGACGGTGTGTCCGACGCTCACCAGCTTTCTGGCGGGGACGTGGGCCCCTGTGGCTAACGGGCGCGAGGGTGATGTGCGGACGGCATCGTGCGAGCCTGGATGGACGTTTTCCGGAACGGCAAGTCGGACGTGCCTGAGTGATGGTATGTGGAGCGGGAGTGACGATCAGGCGTGCGCGCCTCGGCCGTGCAACGCGCTTGTGGCGCCGGTCAACGGTGTTGTGTCGGCGGCGACTGGCAATCCGGGCGACACGGTCACGTTCTCGTGCAACGTCGGGTACACACTGACGGGCTACACTACCCGGACCTGCCAGTCGAATCAGCTCTGGTCCAACCTCAACGATCAGTACTGTAACCCGTCGCTGTGCGGGACCACGCTCTCGCCGCCGGCCAACGGGATGGTGTCTTCGACAACGGGGCACACCGACGAGACGGTGAGCTTTTCCTGCGGGGGCGGCTACTATCTGCAAGGGAGCTCATCGCGAACGTGTCGGGCTGACGGAACGTGGTCGAATCTGGACGATCAAGTTTGCGTTGGGAGCCCGTGCACGACGCCTGCCGTGCTAAGCGCGCCCGCCAATGGAGTCGTTTCGCCAGCGTCGGGCGGGACCGGGACGGTGGCGACGTTTTCGTGCAACGCTGGATACACGTTGACGGGAACGACGACGCGGACGTGTCTGGCCGACGGATCATGGTCGGGCTCGTCGCAGATGTGCAGTGCCAACGCGTGCAACCCGCCGCTGAGTGCGCCAGACTACGGAACGGTGGATCGGGTGACTGGAACAACCGGCGATGTGGCCAACTACGGGTGTAACGCCGGGTACTCGCTGTCGGGAGGGGCGACGCGGGTGTGCACGACAGCCGGTACGTGGTCGGGAGCTGCGCCGACTTGCGTCGGCAATCCGTGTGCGCCGCTGCCGGCACCCACCAATGGGCGGGTCGACGGCGGTGCGTCTGCCAGCGCCACGGCCGGCGGCTCGGTGGTGTTCAGCTGCAACACCGGATACCAGCTGTCAGGAGCGTCGGCGCGGACATGCCTCACTGATGGATCGTGGGACGGAGTTGGTGGACAGACGTGCACGATTGTGGCGTGCGGGCCGGCACAGACCCCGCCGGCTAATGGAGTGGTCTCGTCGACGCTGGGCAACTACGGCGATGTGGTGACCTTCTCGTGCAACAGCGGATACACGCTCGGCGGATACGCGAGCCGAACGTGCCTCGCCGACGGGACGTGGTCGAATCTCGCCAATCAGGTCTGCTTCGCCAACACGTGCTCGGCGCTGCTGCATGTGCCGACGCACGGGAACGCGAGTCCGAGCAGCGCGACGACAGGTCAGAGCGTGACGTTTAGCTGCGGAACCGGATACTACCTTTCGGGCTCGTCGTCGCGTGTGTGTCAGCCTGACGGGACGTGGTCCGGGACCGACGATCAGGACTGTCTCGGCAATCTCTGCACGGCGCCGATGGTGCTGGGCGCGCCGGTTGATGGCACGGTTGCACCGGCAACCGGGACAACCGGCGATGCCGCAGTGTACAGCTGCAACGCAGGGTACACCATGTTTGGAGTGGCGAGCCGCACGTGTCTTCCGGATGGGAGCTGGACAGGCAGTGGGCCGCCGACGTGCCTCCCCAACACATGCTCGCCGCCGCGATCGGCTCCTGCACACGGATCAGTAGACGCAACGAGCGGGAGAACGGGCGAGTTTGTGACGAACAGCTGCGACGCCGGGTACGATCTGGTGGGAAGCGCGGTGCAAGAGTGCTTGCCCGACGGGAGCTGGTCGAACGCGGCGCCGAGCTGTGTGGCGGTACTGTGCCCCTCGCTGACAGCGCCAGTCTATGGACTTGTGGACGGCGGATCGTCGGTGACGGTCGGAACGGGAGCAACAGTCACGTTTTCGTGTCTTCCGGGCTACGCACTGAGCGGGAGCGTATCGCGGACATGTTTGGCGTCCGGGGTGTGGTCGGGCGCGGCAGATCAGAGCTGTACCTCGCAGATGTGCGCAACGCAGCTGGTGGCGCCGGATCGCGGGACGATCACGTGCACGACCGGGACGACCGGAACCACATGCAGCTACGGATGTAATGCCGGGTTCGTGCTCGAGGGCGGAAGCCCAGCGAGGACGTGCCAAGGGGACGGAAGCTGGTCGGGAAGCATGCCAAGCTGCGCGCCGAGCGCATGTGTCGCGATGCCGGCGCTGGCCAACGGGCGGATTTTGCCGAGTAGCGCGGGCAAGACCGGCGACAAGGTGACGCTCGTGTGCGATGCCGGGTACGTGCTGACCGGGATCGAGACGCAAGAGTGCATGGCAGATGGGACGTGGAGCGGGGGCAACGTGACGGCGACGTGCGTGGGTGTGGTGTGCGGGCCGGAGCTGAGCGCGCCGACGAACGGAGGAGTCTCGTGCACAACAGCGTCTGTGGGCGAGAGCTGCGCCTACACCTGCGATGCCGGGTACACACTCTCGGGCTCGTCGGAGCGGACGTGCATGATCGACGGGCGATGGACTGGATCAGACCCGCGGTGCACAGTGCTGGCGTCGTCGTCAATGCTGGACGCGTCGACGCTGACGTCGTCTACGACGTCTGCGGACGAGGCCAAGTCGACGTACGCTGTGGCGCTGTACCTTTTGCTTGGCGCGCTCATTGTGACGTTGTTCGCCGGAACGCGGTACCGACGCAAGAACCTGAAGAAGTACCGGGCGGCGCCGCACCACTGGTTGTACCAGCCGCTGGACCAGATGCTGCTGCGCGAGCATCCGCTGGTGGGGATCATCGCGCACCTGCGCGCAGACCCGTACTCGCGGACGGGGCGGACGCTCGCGTTTCTCCTCTCGACCAACCTGCTCCTCCTCTCCACGCTCATCATGCCGGTTATCAACCCGTCTGGGTATGAGGAGGATACGGCGATTGTCTCGCTCGACCGGGTGGCGGACATGGTGCTCTCGCTGGTGGTCTCGACGCTACTCTCCTCGATTGTGGGCTCGCCGCTCATCAAGCGCGGCTTCCGGTCGCACGAAGACGCGACAGCGCGGCTCGTGGCGGGTGTGGCGGCGTTTGCGGTCAACATTGTCCTGGCACTGGTCAACGGCGCCCTGATCACGCTCCCGCTCCTTGTCTCGGCCATTCCGTTTGAGATGGCGACGCTGCTCACCATGTTTGCCATCTCGTTTGCGCTCTGGCTCCTCATCACTGCGCCACTGGCCATGATTGCGTCGTACTACGTGCTCGGCGCGCGGGCGACGTATGTGCACGAGGGAGGCAATGGCGGTGTCGATCCGATGTATGCGGTCTCGCCCGAGTTCATCATGTCAATGGGAAAGGAGGTCGAGCTGCCCGCAGTGACAGTACCACCGATGGCAAGCGAGTCTGCACCGGTGGTCTCGTTTGGCGACGCCAGCTCGAGCGCAAGCTCGAGCTCGAGCTCAAGCACGTCGGCGCTGGTCTCCGCCAGCAATTCGAGCGCTGTGAGCTCACGGCGGGAACCACGGGCACGGGCGCTCATGTCGGCGTGATGAGGTGCAAGCGCATCAACCGCCGGCGTCGGCCTTGCGCAGAGCCAGCATAAAGTCGGCAAACGAGTCGGCGATCTTGACCGGCGTGTACGGCGGGTCGGACCATTGGAGGACATGGGCGACAGACGGCTCGCCCGATGGGCCAGGATGAACATAGTCGAGAATGACCCAAGCGTGGCCATCGCCATCGATGTTAAGCGTGCGCCCGCACAGCTCGAAGGGAAAGTCCCACTCGTTGGCGTATAGGTCCGAGTCGCCAAGCTCGGACACGCTGCCGAGCTGCGAGATGATGGGCGCATCAAGGCCGACAGCGTGAATAGCAGTAAGATCAAGGACCGCCCCATCGGCAACCTGTAACATGGCTGCGTATAGAGACGGGAGCTTACGCGGGAAGATCTTGGCGTTGAGGCTGGCAATATCCTCAGGCGACGCGCCGCGGGCAGTCGGCTCAATGTCTCCGCCTGTGACCTGGGCCAGCACCTCGCGGGCGTCGAGCTTGCCGGGGCCACCACGCCCACCACGCCCCCCACCCAGACGACTCGGAAGCCGTTAGCGATCTTTGCGTCGAGAAGTGAGACCGCTGTCGCGAGAGCATCCTGCGTCGACGGGAAGTCGGTGATTGACTCGTCGCCTGCGGCGCCGACCTCGCCGGAGCGGGTGACCACCTCCTCGCCGTCGAGCGCCACCGTCCAGAACCACGACGATGGGCCGGGGAGAGACTCGAGAGCCACTGTCCGTCCCTCCAGCAGAGCTTCACGGGTCTGTGGTGGGGAGGGTGGCATGGCTTGCCGGGAGGAGATGGGTGGGGTGGGGGTAACGATTATTGGAATGAGTGTTAATTGAGTTTGGGCGGGGTGGGGGCAACGATTACTTCATCGGAGGAGTTTAAT